AAAAATATTACATTCTTAAGCAAAATGCATGCAAGATATTAAAAATTTATATGCTAAATTGCTTATGATTTTATAAAATGACAGAAAACATTACAAAATATTGTAATAAATGTAAAATAAAGTGAATTAGACACAACCAATTTCTACAAAACTATCTGCTTGCTACATTAATATTGTATGTTGCAAATTTATTTTTGATGAAGAATGTTCTATCATTACACTTAACAAAAATTATTGTATTTTTTTTGTATATATAACTACATTACTACATTTATATATTGAATATATAACTGTATTATAATCTCGTGTGCTTGTGTCTTGAAAATTTATTACAATAATAAAAAAAAAAAAGTAACTTTTCCTAGCTCATTGATTCTCAGATGACACACTTAAGATGTCCTCAATGCCTTAGAACTTTTTGCCTTTTTATGAAAATTAATCAGATAATAAGTAAATAAAAGCATTTGTGATTTGAACATATACTCACAGTTTGTGAAGCTCATATACTTTCATTAACACCATATAACAATTGAAAATCATTGCATATACTTGGAATGAATTTTTGGGATTTCTCAGTTTTACATACGTACACTTGTTCACATGCATATGCATGTGCATATATTTGACTGTTTCATACAGAAGTTTGTTTATGTTTAGAAAATGATTCATTGGCTAAATCTTAAATATAATACAAATAATATTGATGAACGTTCAACAACCTTAAAAAAGTCATACTGTTGGTAAACAGAAGAAAATTTATACATACTATAATAACTGCTTATTCCATCTTGTCATTAAAACAATAACTCCAGTTTTAAATTTCAGTTATTTGAAATTGAAGGAGGTCACAGCTTGGACACATTTGAATGAAAGTCCATGAAAGACAAATGGTTGAAAACTGCTGACGTAAGCAATTTTTATTCTATGCTTTTATAGTACTTTTTAGAAATGAAGACATTTGAATAAATTAAACTAACTGCTAGATATTTATGTCAATAAATAGTTACCATTTTTTCTCTTTGTATATCTTAATCTATCATAATGTCTAATTTAGTATATTTAATATTTGGATTTCATCTCTCTATATTAAAAAACTGAAATTATCATCTTTGTAAAAAGGGCTGGCAGAATTACAATTTAATAAAAAGTAAAAATTTCCGGTGATTGGACATGGCAAGCAGTTAAAAGTGGACTAGTATCCATTTGTAATGTATTTTTACTTTTTATTAAAATGAAATTATAATATTGACAGGGAACATTACCTAAATGAGCATTTCCAAATCTGATAATTATTATGTGATGTAGAGTAACAAAAACTAAAAGTTGTGTATTTTTTATCAGCAAAAATAGATTTCTTAGAAAGTGAAATCAATCCTCAAGTTGGACATACCAAACATGGGTTTTATAGTTTCATATAGAAACACTTATCTAATTTAAACAAACCATCATAAAGGTACATTTTATAATAAGTAATCAAAAATATTTTTAACAAATATTTTGAAAAATATTTATAAAGAGCTAGTCACTCCCATGAATTTTTCAAAATCTTACAAAATCTTTATAAAAAAAATACTGAACTTTAAAAAATATAACTTTTTTAATAAATAAATATTTATTATTGTTATTATACTGTTATATATATCTAGCATGCTCATTATGGTATAACCACATTGAAGTAATTCTTAGCATAAATAAGCCATTTTCTAAAAATAAAAAATATTGATAGAGGCCATTAGAAATGTACAAACTGCAACTTACATACTATATCTACAATCTTTCTTAAGATAACAAATTTTAGAAATATAAAATATTTTTCAATCAAAATTTCAAAGCATATATTGATTATGAATATGACAACTAATAATCACTATTTTATATACTGCTTGGTAAAAATCATTTATGGGGTGAACTACTCCATAAATACAGGCATTCTCAGCTTAATGTCAGTAATTTGTTCTTAAAATAAGATATTCTGTGGGAAAACATTAACCAGATATCTATTTTCCATTATTTTAAATTGGAAAAGTTATAATGCATTACAAAGTCAATCTAAAACTCCCAATTAATTTCAAAAAACATATATAGGCATTTTATTATGTTTTAGTTACAAATTACAAACTATCATATTAAATTGCAACACATTTCTAACAAAGTCTCTGATGTTTCTGTGAATTAGAAAATAATTTAATTGACTGTTGTTAGTGAGATTTCAAAAGTGTGTTTAGATTTTCTGCTGTAAAAGGTGTATGATAATGGTATAATGCTTCTTGCAATGCCAGCTATAGTTAAGACATGTAGTATATTTCCTTTCTTGACACTGAAAATGCCTTTTAAAATGTCAGCCAAGTTATTCTAACATTCTAATCAATTGTTTGGAATGTAGCTTGTGATTTCTTCTGCATATTGTTTCATCAATGATACTGTATTAAATTTTTGGGATATAAATATAAACTTTAAGTATTAAAAACCAAATGACATTCTAGCAAAAATTGTTATGTGGAAAGACTGGTAACAAATACAGCATCCCTGCCTGTATTTGTTATCAATTGTTATACATAAACTATTAAATTATTAAAAATTTAATAGTTTATGTATAACAATTGATAACAAATACAGGCAGGGATGCTGTATTTGTTACCAGTCTTTCCACATAACAATTTTTGCTAGAATGTCATTTGGTTTTTAATACTTAAAGTTTATATTTATATCCCAAAAATTTAATACAGTATCATTGATGAAACAATATGCAGAAGAAATCACAAGCTACATTCCAAACAATTGATTAGAATGTTAGAATAACTTGGCTGACATTTTAAAAGGCATTTTCAGTGTCAAGAAAGGAAATATACTACATGTCTTAACTATAGCTGGCATTGCAAGAAGCATTATACCATTATCATACACCTTTTACAGCAGAAAATCTAAACACACTTTTGAAATCTCACTAACAACAGTCAATTAAATTATTTTCTAATTCACAGAAACATCAGAGACTTTGTTAGAAATGTGTTGCAATTTAATATGATAGTTTGTAATTTGTAACTAAAACATAATAAAATGCCTATATATGTTTTTTGAAATTAATTGGGAGTTTTAGATTGACTTTGTAATGCATTATAACTTTTCCAATTTAAAATAATGGAAAATAGATATCTGGTTAATGTTTTCCCACAGAATATCTTATTTTAAGAACAAATTACTGACATTAAGCTGAGAATGCCTGTATTTATGGAGTAGTTCACCCCATAAATGATTTTTACCAAGCAGTATATAAAATAGTGATTATTAGTTGTCATATTCATAATCAATATATGCTTTGAAATTTTGATTGAAAAATATTTTATATTTCTAAAATTTGTTATCTTAAGAAAGATTGTAGATATAGTATGTAAGTTGCAGTTTGTACATTTCTAATGGCCTCTATCAATATTTTTTATTTTTAGAAAATGGCTTATTTATGCTAAGAATTACTTCAATGTGGTTATACCATAATGAGCATGCTAGATATATATAACAGTATAATAACAATAATAAATATTTATTTATTAAAAAAGTTATATTTTTTAAAGTTCAGTATTTTTTTTATAAAGATTTTGTAAGATTTTGAAAAATTCATGGGAGTGACTAGCTCTTTATAAATATTTTTCAAAATATTTGTTAAAAATATTTTTGATTACTTATTATAAAATGTACCTTTATGATGGTTTGTTTAAATTAGATAAGTGTTTCTATATGAAACTATAAAACCCATGTTTGGTATGTCCAACTTGAGGATTGATTTCACTTTCTAAGAAATCTATTTTTGCTGATAAAAAATACACAACTTTTAGTTTTTGTTACTCTACATCACATAATAATTATCAGATTTGGAAATGCTCATTTAGGTAATGTTCCCTGTCAATATTATAATTTCATTTTAATAAAAAGTAAAAATACATTACAAATGGATACTAGTCCACTTTTAACTGCTTGCCATGTCCAATCACCGGAAATTTTTACTTTTTATTAAATTGTAATTCTGCCAGCCCTTTTTACAAAGATGATAATTTCAGTTTTTTAATATAGAGAGATGAAATCCAAATATTAAATATACTAAATTAGACATTATGATAGATTAAGATATACAAAGAGAAAAAATGGTAACTATTTATTGACATAAATATCTAGCAGTTAGTTTAATTTATTCAAATGTCTTCATTTCTAAAAAGTACTATAAAAGCATAGAATAAAAATTGCTTACGTCAGCAGTTNTAATCCTTTCCAAAAGAGTGCAATTTCTTTGATGCTTTGTTATACAGACGATTATAGTCTCAATCCATTTTTGTGAAAATGGTAACAAAATCATTTGTATGCAGGTCATGAAACATATTTTAAAGACATCAGATCTTTCATTTTCATATATAAAATCAATCAAAGATTTTCGAATAACTTATTTTTTTAAAAATAGTGTTTTTCTTATAATAAACTCATACATAATTTTAAAATTTATACTTTAATTCATCTAGAATTTGATCGAAATTATAAATTTCATTATTAAATTAGAATAATTACATAGGTTTTACATTCTCATTTAATAATATGTTCAATACTATATTTAATTAATAGTAATCAACTAAATTCATTTAACATACAACTTAAAAAGACTACAGAAATATTTTGATATTTTGTTCAATTATAATTGGGATAATGATTTATTATTGCTTACAAGTAACATGAAATATTGTCAACTAATCTCATAATGAATAAATATTGTAAATCAAAATCATTTTAAATAATGGGATGAATAAATGTACAATCTGTTTATTTAAATCACTTATAAATTATAAATTAGATAATTTTAACTATACAATTTTCTAAAAGTCTATCTTAAAATAAAAAATTCTACATATTTAATTTTTTATTAAAGCATTTTATTATAAATAGACGATCTGTCAAATTATAAGGCTAAGACTAGGCTATGTTAAATGAGAAATAAATGAAATATATTAAATTAAACTTACGAATTCTTGGATCCAACCAACTGGTAGTACGATCAATATGATTGATAAAATAAACCTCTCCTTCTGGTGTAGTAGCCTGATCCCAACCTTCCGGAAGGGGTCCTAAATTATGCAATGTAATTGGAGGACCTGCTGATGTAGGACTATGAGAAGAAAGGGTTGATGCTGTTGGAGAAACAACTGAAGTATGACTAACTGAAGGATGAAGAGTTGCAGCATTTAAGTTTTTCCGTGGATCCTCCCAAGTTGTTGTCTGAGTGATATGACTAAAATTCAAAATAATTGTATTAATATAAATAAAAATCATTAAAACTATAATATAATGTTGTTTAATATTAAATCTAGCATGGAAAGATATTTAATCTTTAATTTTTATAAAAATATAAATAGCATTTAAATCAGCTTATTACAATAGAATGATCTTAATGAGTTGATTTAAAAATACACTTAATTTTTAATAGTATTTAAGTCAACTCATTACATACATACATGCACACACACATTTAATTTTTAATGTAAAATGACTGCAATAATTTATAACTAATGATCACATGCATATGAATTCTAAGAATAAAAAATAGATCAATATTTTATAAAGATAAGAAATAAATTTTAGCATTCCAAGACAATATGTTAACAAAATTAATTTTACATCATCACTACTTAAAATATAAGAAAACAATTTTTTTCAATATTTTTGGGCTTCAATCTTAACATTAGATTTTTTTCAATAACATGTATGTATGTATGTAATTTATGAATGTTAATTTATACATTTCTTCAGCAATATAACATGAAATATTTTAACAATTAATACACAAAAACTTAAATATTTTTGTAATTTATGTTTAAAATTAAATTCTATATGATTTGGAAAATTATAACAAATATAAATAATACCATTTTAAAATTAGTAGATACATATACCACAAATGTTAACTATAAAGTGCAGTGGTATGACCATAAATTTCTGTGTACGGTAGCCTATCTACTGTGCAATAGAAATAGTCACTATAAAAATGCATTTCATATTTTAGTTCCCATAGACCAGTGGTTCTTAACCTTTCTAGTGGTCAGCACCCCCTTGAATCTGAAAATAAGCTACTGCACCACCTTAAAAAATGTGTATATATTTTTTATTTAAGAAAAAACATTTATTGCATAAACAAATGCCATGTTTATTTACAATATATGTTACTATATAACATAAAAAGCAATATTTAAATTTTAATGGCTAACTTGTTGTTTATTCATAATAATTCTATTAAAACGAGGCTCTTTTTTTTTTAAGAGCCACGTGTAAGTCATCAGATGCATTTAAGCAATTTCTGGCTTCTGTTTTGATGTTCAAAACTACTGAATTCAAGGTATGCAAACATGTCTCAACTAGTTTCTGTACTGCATGTGACAATGTGACTACATTAACTGCATGTACTGACAACTGATGACAAGCACTATGTGCTGAGAGACTATAGAAGTGGGGGGGTGCTATGTTGCTGGGTGACACAGTTTGTAGAGAACACGGTCGCCTCATTCGTATTATTTTATTTTATTTTTTTTATTTTTAAATTTCTCTCACACCCCTAGGGGTGTGGCACCCCAGGTTAAGAACTGCTGCCATAGACTGATCTTAGCTATAAGCAACTGAATGATAAAATGATTATAGTGATACCTCGGTTTTTGTCGATAATCTGTCCGAAAACAATTGGCAAAATCTGAAATTGATGAAAACCAAGGCAATTATTTCCATATGAATCAATGTAAATACAATTAATTCATTCTATACACTCCAAAATACATACCAAAAACACATTTTATAGAGAATAAATATTGTGTTTAATACTAAAAATAATAAGAAATTAATATGAAATGGACATAAAAAACTAATGTAGAGAATAAATAAACATTTAACATGGCAGTCGAAGCACTATGGTTCTGGAAACTTTCTTTGGTCCCATGATGGAGCTAAAAGGAAAGGAAAGGAAAGCAATGGAATTGCTTTCCTTTCCTTTTTGTTTGGCTAGATGTGCGGGATAATGCTCACACGAGAAGGAAAACACATGGGTGGCCCTATATTTTCACAAATTTAACAGGTCACATAAACATGCCAACAAAATCCAAGGCAACCAACAAAAACCAAGAAAATTTTTTGTGAAAAAAATTGATGAAAACCAAAACTGATGATAATTGAGGTATTACTGCAAAATAAAATAAACCAAGTTGCTCTTGAATTGTTTTTTATTTTTTCAAAAACATTGTTCATAAAAAGCACATATTCATGGACCCATTGTCACTTTTAAAATTAATTTACATAATATTAAAGCAAAGCAAATTATTTTAATGCAAATTGAAAATATTTAGCTAATTCCAAACCAATTACCAAATTCTTGTTCCTAAAGTATGCTTCAGTTCTACGAATAAAATTAAAGTTCTACTGTAATTAAAATTTTTAAGAATCTATAAAATCAACATTTTTTTAATATAAGTAAATTTAAAATCTAAAGTTTTTATTTTTCATGTTAAATTATTATTATACTAAAAAATATTACTATATCTTTATGAGTATTTTTAAGAATATTTAATATTATTTGTCAGACTAAAAATATTAATTTAGCTAATTAAAATTTTATGATTTTACAGAGAGAATTTATATTATGCATTTTAATGTTAATTAATCAGTAAAAACTAAAATATTTAAGTAAGAAACAATTTATAAAGTTTCCATATAATACATCAGAAAAAACAGAAATTAATAACTTGTATTATTTATTTTTTCAAACTCTATTGGAAATGAATCATAAAATAAGAACTTTGTTTTAATTACTTTGAACTTAAACAAATTCAAAGTAATTAAAACAGAAAGCAAATGATGAAATTGTCAATAATAAAGAAGTAATTTTATATCAAAAATATGACAAATCTTTACTCCCTCTTCTCTTTATTTGCTTTTTGGATTTACTTGCCACATTAAGCTTATAAAATAGTCAAAATTTCATACTACTATAACTGAGTCTTCATCGTAAATCCAAGATAAAAATAACTTAAAGTATAGGAACTCTGCCAAAAATGAAAAATATGTAGTTGAATCTGTCATATTAACTAAAACTGCTATAAACTAGTCCCTATTTCTATTATATTTCTTTTCTTCTTTCATATATATTCAGTCAATTTAAAATACTAAGTCTTTTTCTATTTTTCTTTAATAATAGTAATACTGTAATTGCATTTTATTTAAATCTTAAAGTTTTTATAAATTCTCATTAATTTAATTTAAAATAATAATATTTTTAAATAATATTTATAATAAATTTCTTTGGCTTTATCTTTAGTCATCAAAAATTTCTATTTTATATTTATTAATTTAATTTAATGTAATTTTCTATTATATTTTAATATGTAGAAGAGCAATATGAAATGCATGTATTGTGCATTTCATACTGATTTCATTTGAATAATGAATAATAATAATAATAATAATCCATAATATGCTATTGTTGTAACATAAAAATTAGTATTTGATAAAATACAGATAAATATAAGAAACAAATTAATTAATTGAAATTAAAATTAGTTAAATAATGTAATCAAATAATGTGATAAAATATATTTAATTACATTATTTCTAAAATATAACTAATAAAAAAAACCTCAATGATGATAATTTATAGACATTGATAGTACTCATAATATATTAAACAAAATTAACACAAAATATTAAAAAAATACAGAAGAATGTACAATATGTAATTTAAAAATTTACATTTCATTAAATTAATTCAGTAAATAATGAAATTCTAATTTAGAAATTTTTGACAAAATATTTGTTTTTATCTAATCAGTTTGTAAATTCCATTATTAATAAAATATTCATTAAACATTAAAAAAATTTAATCTGAAAAACAAATTATATATCAACAAATAATTTGTTCCAAATTATAAATAAAAATATATTTTTATCTTATCTGTAATAAATTAATTAACAGAAAATTAGTTTAAGTGATCGTGTTCTTGTATTAGATTAAAAAATTTCAAATGACTAACAAACACAAGAATACTTTCTATTATGTAGAATTCAAAGAAGTTTATTTATAAAACTTTTAACAAAGACATTATATTTTATGAATTAAAAAAATTTCTAACTTTTTAGCAACTTCCTTCAATCCTTTAGTTAAAAATTAGATAAATAAAATAAAAACCGAACTGTTAAAAACTGTAGTATCATTATTGACTATCATCTAAACATTGTTCCATAATTGTAGAGTATTTATATTCCTTTATTCTATATTTAACAGACAGACTATAGGTAATGAATGGAATACATAAGATGAAATTTTTTTCAATACTACTAAATTATTTTTTATTATGAACTGATTAATGAAGATAATGTCAAGGCCAACCTTAATCTATTTGCCATTCAGGGCACCATGCTGTCCTACCATCTTTAGCCTAACATAACCTACTTTAACCTAATGTAATCTAACATTAGCCTAACTAAAATTAATCTGACATTTGAATAAAAAAAGGGAGAACATCAGTTTCCATCATTATATTATTTTTTCTTATTTTGTAAAAAGTAATTATTGTAAAATATTATTTACACTTTCACACTTTCTGCCATTGCTAAAACTTGGCTGCCCTAGCCCTAAAGTGCCTAGTAGATATATCAACCTTGGATAATGTGTTCTTTACTAATGATTTGGTATTTCCATAATAATAATAATTTTTAGTAAACATTTTAGAGTGCATACTGTCTTTGAGATTCCTTTGCATATTATATATCTGATAATTTCCTTCATATGTTATTGTATCTTCTGTGTTTTAAATTAAACAAAATCAATGTCTCTGACAAAGTGTTCATATTTCATGTTTTTATTACTTGTGATTTAATTACAACTATCTGTAATTATTATAGATCATTATGCTAATATAGTAGTTCATAATAAAAAAAGGAATATGAAAGCAAAAACATATGCTTAATTAAAGCCAGAAAATTGATTTAAAAAAAAAAAACATATTTTATATATATTTCTAAAATATTTGCTATGTTCTAGTTTTACATTCTGAATTTAACAAAGTTACAGTATTTGGAGAGCATATATCTCATGTACAAAGGGCAATATTATAGAACTTCTTATCAGGAAAAGAAAACAAAGAATACAATTCAATTATCTCTTAACAAATTTATAAAGAAAACACCAGATACTAATCAATAAAAAATAAATATTTTGAAAACACTTGCTCTATTTTAGTACATTTCAACTTTCAT